AGTCAGTGAGTGAGTCAGTGAGTGAGTGAGTGAGTGAGTGAGTGAGTGAGTGAGTGAGAGTGAGTGAGAGAGCAGGGAGAGGGAGGCTGGACAGGCAGTCGAGATCCAAACAGCTGTTCAGGCCAGGCACGCTCAGTAAACCTATAGCTGCCTGCAGCTGACATGCGGCTTGCCCCCAAATACTGTGCCTCACGAAATTGTCCATCCGAGTCGCATGGAACTTCTTCAAGAGCGGCGTGAATCCCCTGCACATCCATGCCCATGTCTGGGTCTCTGCTAATGCCAGTACATGCCCCGAACGGGGCGACCCACAAGATCATATCTGAAGATCACATCTAGTTCCCCTGCTACCAGCCAGCTCTACACCGTCTCTACATCAATCTACGTTCAAAAGGGCAACGCACAAACCGCACTTTGCTTTCGCGACTGGCCTGCAGGGAGGGCACCAGTGAGCACTGAAGTACAACGCGATAACGTCAGATGCGGTCAGCTGCTGCCTGGGCTCCGGCTCGATTAGCACGCGCAGTGATGGAGAAGGCACTGGGTCGGCAGCACATCAAAGTCTTTGCCGCTGCGATCCACCAGCTGCAGGCCTCGACGTCCGGGCCCACCGGGCCGGCCCACTGACGTGTCGAGACAGGTCCCCCCTTTCTCAGTAAGTCCGCCGCCATAGCTCTGTACAAGGGTAGCCATGGTTGAGGGCTCTGTGGTCTCGGCTTGGGGAGACTGCGACTGTGCAACATGGCTTGTCTTCGTTGTCATTTTAAATTTGTTTTGGGCCGCCAGCAGCTCCTGATGGACCACTTGAGCCAGATTCGACCAACCCGACGAATCACCTACACACCCAGCTGCGCCGTTATTGAAAACACCCAGCTGTGCCTTGTTAGACAGGCTCAAAAGCCCAGCTACATACAAAGCCCATGGGCACTGGGCGCGGGTTTACACTTCGTCATGCGGCAGAAAGCGCAGTGGTTAGGTAGTGGATTGAGGAATGGATTTTCAGGCGTGCACGCGATCTTTCCTTGCTATGCTCTCTGAGCACAGAAGTTGCTCACAATTCTGCGAGGTGGGCATCTGGCGCCAACTCGTTACTTGGCCGTAGATGCCCAGAAGACGCTCTCACCTTCGCCACCGGCCGCTGCTCTGTCACGAGCAGCCAGGAGACAGCTGCCTTCGAGGTTCGAGGTTGTTCGAACTCCTTCCCTTTTCTTCTCTCGCAGGCGCGACCTCAGCGCTGTCCGGAGGCCGTAAACGTGCAGGAACTCACGGAGGCCTTGGATAACAGGTAAAGGTCGCAGACAGAAAAGCTCTAAGAGTGGAAGCGCAAGGGGTTGCCTGTCAGGAGGACCGCCGCGGCATCAGCACCCTTCAATGCAGGGCTAGGTACAGGCAGTCTGGACAGAAACCGGCTTGCTGGGCAGTTGGGCATCGGACAAGGAGCCCTCTGCCCGCAATGCAGCGTGTGAAGCAAGCGAACGCAATTCCCTGCCTCGGAAAGCACATCCAGCCGACAAAAGTCTGTTTCCGCATCAATGCTCAGTTGTCTCAGGCTTCGGGCCACATCAATGCTTGCGAATTCTCTTGCAGGCTTCGCAGAGCCACAGCCTCAAGACATGACCGCCGTCCACTCCCATCCTAGGTCCTAGATGATGAGGTCCAACTCCACACTGCTCAGGCGAGTCGTGGTCATTCCACACAAATTGAACTCCTGGTGGGCGGCCCAAACTTGCTCAAACCTGGTCTAATCTGAATCAGGGAGGTTCTGCTACTCGGAGGGTTGCCGAGACTTGTTTCCACAACCGACAAGCCAAGCCCGTCACCGCGGCAAGCGCCAGATAATAAGTCTCTGGCAGCTCTCAAGATCATGAAGGTCACGAGCAGAAACAAAGGCTCGTCACCTGCATTGTGACCGCTTCGTCTATAGGGATCGTACACGAGCGGCTTTTTGTGCATGGCCTTGATCCTGTTGCGGGAGCCGCAGATCAGTGTCTTCTTTTCGGAGGGCCTCCGCAGCGACTCAAAGCCAGATCATCCGGTGAGCGAGACGGAGGCCTCTGCATCCCCAAATTCACCGGTGATCTGCCCTCGAGGATTGCAGTCGCATCGTCAACTCAAGGCTCAGCAACCAAGGCTGCTGCCGTTCGAAATGTGTAAAAGCCTGAGCACCGAGCACCGGAACACAGTGCAAGGGCACGTTCTCCGCAGCATCATGCAGTTGAGATGCAGCGCCAGGAAGATCAGTCTGACGCGGACATGGGTGAGAAGCATAGGTCCTGTAACTCAAAAAAGTTGGGCGGATCCTCGCAGGGCCACCCTACAAAACGACCCACGACCCAGCTTCTGCTGTCCAATTCAGGGTTCTACCTGAAACTACGTACTTACTGCTGATAAGCTTTCCGTTTAGGAGTGGCTCCGACACCTTGTTCCGTAATTCTCCACCCCCTTTTCCTTTCTGTTGAGCTTGAGCCCACACTTTGGTTAGCCCGCTAGAACTTCCAATCCGCCAGTTCCTGTTGCCCCACATCTTGCTTGTCATCTCCTGTCACACCTTGAATCCAAAAACCAACAGTGCCCCTGTGAAAAAGTACAACCACTCCTGTGAGATTTCAGGCGCCCATGGAAGAAGCGTGCTCGCCTGATACATCCACAGCATGGCAGCGGCAGGGTGGTATAGGAGCGTGACCAAGCAGCAGGCAGCCTGCTTGGAGTTTCTTTGAGGCGCGCCCTGCGCGCTCCGCGCCACTTGTGAGCCCGCAAGATGTGGAACCAGGGGGGGTTGCAAGGCTTCAGCACTACAGGCGGTACATCCGCAAAGCAAACTGAGCCCTCAAGGCACGCAAGTGCATTTCTGCTTAGCAGGACACCGATCTTGTGGCGAAATTTCTCAAAGGCCTGCAGCTGCAGCAGAGCTAGTACTACGTCTTGATCCACATGAGGAGTGCCAGTCAGTTCCATGCTCAAAGCCAACACTGGGCTACTGCAAACGAGACTTGTCTAGCACAAGATTGGTACCCACAACCTCTGTTGCTCATACACACGGACGCACGCGTCTAACTCTGCAGCTCAGCAAAGGCACGCTGCTGCTTTCTGTAGAGCCTTCATTTTCACAGGAGCTGCAGCCGCTCAACATTCATAAACAATCCGTTTGTTACTGGCCGGGTGGTTGTTCTCCTGGCAACCACGGGGCCGACAGCTCCTGCAGGAAAATGGGAACAGCATGACACTGGCGTTGTTAAGACACTATACTTGCCTGCTTGGATAAAGTGTGTTGGCCGACACGCGTGAACCCAAGATTGCCTTTTATACAGTGGTATTGGCTATGTCATCCCGTTGCACAAGTTTGGTTGCTGAGATGGGCCTCATGGCACGTCTTCCGGCCAGGGTGTAAGGGCTCATACTTCGAAGGAAACTCACATCATTTGCAATGGACAAGTCAATGCAAAGCCTCTTGCCCGGTAGGGCCAGGCAATCGCGATAAAGTTTCCAAGCGTGCTTACAGTTGTATGTGTATTTGGAAAGGACTATGGCATCCTAGATGCATCAGCCGCACACAGATGCAAGTCTTGAAACATCTGATGGTCTCTTGAAGTTCCGTGCTTGACGGGTACTTGTTTGATGATGTTTCAAAGACGAGCTTGAACATGTCGAGTGAGCAATGCGAGGCGAATGACGCCAGCATGCTCTTGTTGCCTCTGCAACTGAGTTGCTTCAGCAATAGCGAGATACCATGTCTGTCCTTGCCGCAGGATTGCGCCTACTCTAGACCGCCATCTGATGCTGCGCCTACTAGACTACCAGCCAGAGCTTCCTTTTCATTCAAAGCCGTTACCTTTCCAAGGAATACTGTTGATAGTCTAGTGACGAATCGAGCAGTGCTTGTGGAGACAAGGCAACCATGACGGCCTGGCAAGGCGGCATCCGCATTGTAATCCAGCGCTTCGCGCCAAAAGTTGGAAGTCGTGTCCAAGTCGGATGGGCATGCAACGCGTTCGCGGGATGCATTGAAACTCAACTAGGCCTAAGTTGATGTCTTGCCGTCGCTTGCAATATATCTGGTCCTGTTCCGCCTTTAAGCCCCTCATGGAAAGGAATCGACAGCAAACGCTTCAGTGAAGAACGACCCGAGGTCTGCAGATGTCAATACAATCCACCCTACCGGCCCAATACCATTACATCAAGCAGGTTTCATACAGGAATGAATCGTATCCGCACGTTGGCCAGCTGCAAGCTAGAAGCATTCCCACGAAACCACCTGTGCCTCAAAGCACATCAGGTCATCACCTGGCATGGGAACCGGTCGCGATGTCACAACACCAATCACCTCACTCACTTAGTCTATCTTCAGTGTGTACTTTATGCAGTTCAGCCTGTGTCATGCGTACTGGGCTAAGAGTGTCTGGCCGCCTGCGATCAGCCCGCCCTTGATCGTTGAACCACGGTCGTGCTGGTATCTGGAAAGGGAAACCAGCCAAGCGCCAGACCACCCTCCACCCGCCCCCCCCCTTCCCCCTGCCCCTTTTGTGATGAATATCTTGAACTATCTTCCTTCGTCGGCCTTAATCATCAACAGCGTTCTCAAAAGCGGGGACTCTCCTCTTAAAGCACCTCCGAACCTCCCTCCATACTTTTCAAAAACAGCAGCGCCGCAGACGGGGCCACAGGACAATGCAATGTGCTCGGCGTCGTTTTGGACCGTGGAGTGACGGCCCTCTGTACAGAAGGCATCTTGCTATTAGTGAACTCTTCTCAGTCTCATTTTGAGTGTGCTGATCTCGCCTGCTCTCCTATGCTGGCACGGCCTGTCCTGAAGACTCACATATGCCGGTGCTGGGTTCGTGCACAACAACATGGTTAGTGCAAGATCCAGTGCCTAAGCCCCGGCGCTACATGAACATGCTTGGCAGCTTGATTTGCAGAGCTCGTGGAGACAACTGAAGAAATTACAATGCCGGCAGACGCTGTGTCCATCTTCTCTGCGTTGAACCACAGTCACGGACGCGAACTTGTTCGGGTCGATCTTGCATCCACACACCAGAAGTTCACCGCGAATTGCATCGCAAGCTGAAGAAAGGCAGCCTTCTTGTTCTTGGCTTTGTACTCCTTGTAATTCGACTGTGCTTTGCCTTGTACTTTGGCTTGCGCTGACCCTCCATGCGTGTCGCTGCCCTGATTAAAGGCCTAACGCCACTAACACTCTGTGTTCACCAAGCCGCTTCGCTCGGCGGCTGCCTCGAAGTCCTTAATGCGCTCCTGCCAGCATCTGACGCAGGTAAACAGAAACATGGAAGATGATTAGATGCTAGCATCTACGCCAAGTTGCACAGAGGCCCTGTAGGGTGCAACATATGCTCCCTGTCCCTATCATCCTTCAGCCAAGGTGTGTGAAGATATACTGTGCCATATGTAGCAGCATGTTTGCAAAACCGTCACCCCCTGGTGCGTCGGCTTTTGCTCTAAAGCTTGTTGCCTCGTCTATGGAGTCAAAGATGTCAAACTTCACGAGCTTCTCTTCAACCAGCTTCTTCAAGGATGCCTTCCGAAAGCATGATGAGAATCGACAATAGAACATATATAGCGGGCTGCTTACCTCACGACATCGCAGAAGCTGAGATCCTGACATCTGCATCGGCAAGGCCTCCCCCAAGCAGTAAAAGTTCTTGGAAGCTTCTTGGCTTCCTCGCACCGCTGACAAGCCCTGACGAGCCTGGCATCGTTCCAGGCAGTGACATTGAGGGTTCTGGCCCTCGCTCGTCAGGACGGAGCTCACCAGTCTCCTCCTGAGTTGCAAGCTAAGCTGATGTAAGCTGTAAGCGAAAAAATCTCGCCAAGCAGCTGAGGGTGGCATCGGCGTTGGGGTGCTCATGAATTTCGCCCGGTCTTTGGGAGTCCTTATCATATCAGCACTGGCATTGACCTTGAAGCCTGGAAGCCTGGAAGTGGTGGCAGCTTCTCAGGCGAGAGCCGGTTCTTTTTCACAAACTTCTTCAAAGCCTGCTTTCGTCGAAATAACAGCCGCGCAGCCCACACGCCAGATTCAGCTTCGAGGGCCTCTGTCGCCTCCTTCTCGGAAAGGACTGGGGCATATTCAGGGATGCCTGAGGGCATCATGGCCTGCCAACAGACGGCTCCCGAAACAGCAGCACACGGAACGACTACTGAAGATGGTGCATCACATGTACATGTAGCGCCACATTCCAGATTGCACTTCTCACCGTTGCCTCTCTGCCGCTGACAGCAGGCTACACTCTGCAGCTTGTCTCGGAGACAATGACATGAGGAGCGCTTTGCCTTCGTGCCTCCTGTTGCTGATGCCTCCACAGCCCTGTTTGGGAACTGGCCGGCTTGCTCTCAACCATGCACTTGACTCCAGACTCTTCTCAGTGGGCTGTTGAAGCTGCCAAGCATTTTCCCCAGAAGGAGCTGTTTAAGATCTCTCCTCGACGGGCTCTGGCATGCTCTGCCTGCTTTCATCGCTGATGTGCTGTGCGACGAAAAGAGCCCATACCAGAAGTTTCAAGCATCACCTCGTCCCTGTCCGAAGTACCCCCCCCCCAAGATCCTCAAAGCTCGAACATGTCCAATGCATCACCCGAGGCCCCAAGCCTTAGGCAAGGCCAGGGCAAGCAAGAGTCTTGCTGAGGATTCGAGGTGGAACCAATAATGCAGATTCCACGTAGGCAATCTGGCTGTGTTTCTGTTCCACAACATGTTAGGGGTGGAGGGAAGACGACCGCTGCTGCACTGCTGAACGAGTCTTGCTGCACTGCAAAAAAGGAGCTCGAGCCACACCAAGCCGAGTTGGGCATGGCACTGGCACTGGCAGTCACGACAGGCTCGCAGTGGTCTCTGGTCCGGTCTTCCTTTTCCTGTGCTGAGCATGCTCTCGGCGATGCGAGCCCCTGCCATCTTCATGGAGCCATGTCGGGTAAGCAGGGCGCGATGGCTCTCTCGAGGTCTTGCTGAGTCTTGCTATTTGCTCACTTACACTAAGCTAGCCTTCATCGATGACAGCGTGGCACGTGAAAGTGGCATGGGACTCACTTCTTCATCTCGACGGCATTGACGCGCGCCCCAAAGTTCAGGGAGCACATGGACTCCTCGAATAGCAAAGCCAGATTCTTTGAGAACACAACGCCTCACACTCCGCAAGAGCGTCCTCGACGTGGCTGCCGCAAGGATTCAGCTGAAGCAGCATCAATGTCTTGGAGTCCCCGCCCAAGGAGTCCTGACATTGCCGATCTTCTTTCAGGAAGGCTCAGCCATGCAACACAGCAGTCCTGAAGGAAGTGTGTAAGCACCGAGTTTCGATAAGGCGTGTGGCCCTGCTTCTGCGCCTGACAACACAGATGATAGGAAAAACCAGCTGATTGCTCCCGTGCAACTCCCAGCGACCCGTGCAGCGATGACATCTCCCAGTGCACTGAGCGACTTGTTGATGGCAATGGCCTTCCAAGGAATCGAATCAGACCATGCTATCCATGATGTTACACATGAACACTGCGAGACCTCCTTGGCACGGTCTCCCGCAACGCCAGACTTGGCCAGACGCTCGGAGCCTGCCAGATCCACCTCCGCAGCAGGCAAACTGAAGACTTCCCCCCTGCCGCTTCTGTCGCTCAAGATCCAGGGCGCACCAGAGTAATGGCCGACAAGAACTGCTTGCCGTCAGGATTTGTCATCGTCCCTAAGATTTGGACCTTCGGGAGCCCCGCTAACAACTGAGGCTCGGTGTTTGGTCAGCATGCATGCTATGCCCACTACACTGACGCAATCTCGGATCCGGGCAGCAAGGTGCGAACGAGACGAGTGCAGATTCATGTCCGTGGCAGCAACCGTTCGATTCCTCAGCGAATACAGCACAGGAAAATGCTAATTGAGAAAACTGAGAGCAGCCCTTGCAGTGTAAGTCCATGACGTTTGAGCCGTGCTAAGCAGCATCTCAACTTCCTCGGCGTTGTTCACCGGCCTGATCGCAGGCGGCCACCCCTCACGGTGCCCTTGTTTATGCCGCTTCTCTTGAAAGCAAGGCTCTGCATCGTCAATCCGGGCACGTAGTTCCCTTCCTTGCCCTGCCGGACCTGCGCTGAGGTGTTCCATCTCTACACAGTTCGACCTCTGAAAGCCGCAGCCCAAGCCAAAGCCTGAAGCTTCTGCTTCTTGTCACCGGGCCCGAGAAGGTCTCGAATCTCCTGAACGAGAGCCGAGCATTGGACGCGGCTTGAAAACCACCGAAAGCAGCCCGGGCTTCAGAGCCTCGTTGTAGATCTCCACACAGGCCTGGCAGCAGACAAAAACGCCGCCACCACCCTCGCATGGCAAAGCTGCCCTGGGCAGCGCACACCCTTCAGCTCAATCTTCCAGCCAGTCCTTTCTTTGGCCACCTGTCGGAGGTCGTTCGCAAAAAAGTGCATGGAGGAAGAGCCAGGGCAAGAAAGCAAAGGCAGAGCGAGGCACAACCAAAGCCTTGAAGAGCTCGTTGAAGGTTCGCGTGTAGACGCCAGGATTGTCCCTGAAGAGCTGCGGGCATTGGTAAAGGGCTGTGGTCCAAGTGGAAACATCCCAGCTTCTTCGTTTGGACGTGTTGGCAAACGACACAGACTTGCTGACTGTCTAAGCTGCAGTCCTTGTCCCCTGCATGGAGTGCGTTTTGCCAGAGCCCGTCTGACCGTAGGCAAACATGCAGACGTTGTAACCTGGTTGTCGCATCTCAGTTGTGGTGTGTCTATGTCTCAATGCCAGAAAGGAGGCTGAGGAGACAGCCATCCAGCATCGAGACAACTAAATCCCGGATTCCAGTGAAGAGATCTTCCTGACATGAGCTGAGAAGCATTGTGTCAAGTCACGGGCTCAATGCTGTTCATATCCCTTCGTAAACCTGAGGCATGCAAAAGCAAAGAGGCGTTATGAAAAGCTTGGACACTCACTGCACAAGAAGCCAAAAAATCCGCGGAGATCGGGCTATGATTTGGGGCAGTCGGGCCTGACTCGAGTTTTGTCGATAGATCTCGTTGAACTGGAAGCTCCTTTGCAGCAGAGAGAAAAAGAAAGGGAGAGAGAGAGAGAGAGAGAGAGAGAGAGAGAGAGGGATACAGCCAAGCGAGAGAAAGAGGATGCGGCTAGAACAACTAGGCCTCGATTATCCCGAAAGCAATGAGTTCGACACTTTCAGGGACGCTCATCTGGCCGTGTTGCAGGTGCTGTGATCTTGGTGCAACGTAGGTGCTGCGATGTAGTGCTGTGTAGGTGCTCTTCGACACGCACGATCCCCGCAGAGGGATCATCGGCGACGGCACCACATCGGCGCTTCGACACGCACGATAAAAGGCTCATCTCGCTGCGTAAAACGGATTGGCGGTGTCGGGCAAGTGCTCTTTCCAAAGAACCCTTCGCGGTGCTTTCGAGCCTTTCGGGAATAACACAGCAGGCTCTCAGACCTGAAGCAACATGTTACAAGCATCTTGGCAGCAGTGCTCCAGACTCTATGCCAAAGGTGTAATCATGAACTTGCAACAGCTTCACAAGATATCAGCTGTACTCATCTCAGACTGAGACTTCTTGGTGCCCATGTCTGCATTGCTGATCTGGATCTGTCACAGGGATGGGCTAGCGCGGCTGTCACAGAGCTGCTTCGAATCACACCCTGCCTCATCTGGTCCTGGAAAGCTGATGCAGCAGCCGTGGGCTGCCCTTGTCTTGGGCCGCAGGCAGCACAGAAGCCCTTTAGAAGCGCTTCTGGGGGCTGGGCTCTGCCTCTGTCATCGGTCGAACCCGGCAGTATACACGGATGTTGCCTGCTTCGCAGCCGCGAAGCCTACTGTGTGGTCGAGCTTGAACAGGCCTTTCAATTCCTGGACCAGGTTGTGCAACCTCAGTACTCATCCTCACAAAAGTCACCTTTGACAAACAGTGAACTGAGTCGATGGCTTGCGTCTTCTGTCGCACTCGATAGCATACTTCTCTTTCCACTCCTCCACATGGTTTCTGCTTTTCCAGGCTCCAGCAGCGAAGCTTGCGTTCAAGCTAGGCCGTTGTCGCTCTGAGACTTGGCCAAAAGAGAAGTTTAACAGAATTGGGAAAAGAGGATGCGCCGCCCCGACATACGTGGAAAGCAACCTCAAGGCCGACTCAGCCATGCACTCCGAGACTCGTCCAGAGTCAAAGGGGCGATTCGATCCGACTGGGTCCGACTGCTCTTCACTTTGGCTCAAACGGCAAAAGAAAGCGCTGTCCTGCGATCCTTTATCCAGCAACTTTTGCAGCTCTGCTGCCTGTGCCGTGCTGACGAACGGCTCAAACGAATCGCATGGGCGCTTTGTCCATGACATCAATTCGTTCTGGCAGCCTTGCTTCGCATGACCTCTTCCAACACCTCCAGTGTCACAGACTGAGCAACGCACGATGGGAGGAACCTGCAGAACCAAGCACCTGCGGTAGCTGCTGTTGAATTTCCACAGCCACCTGGCGAGAAGGTCATAAAGCCCAGACCATGAAAGCACTCTCGACACATTGCTTTGTCTGCAGACGTGAAGTTTCGGGGCGAATCCTATCTTTGCTCGAAGTTGGTATCGCCACATGACCATCACGTTCAAAGTAAAGCGACAGCTTACTTGTAGGCCGTAATGAATGCTGTTGAGTCAACTAGAAAGGCCAATCGAGTAATTAGCTGTCCCTGTGCACGTTTTCGCAGTCAACATGACCGGAGCGCCGTCGCTCTCATCTCAGACACTTGCTTCTTGCCTGCGACCATGCAGAAAACCGTACGGCTCACGATCACAACTGACAGGTTTCAGCTGAGACGGGGAACATGCGATGAGAAGCACATGCTCATGACTGACACTCGCTGTTGCTTCAGAACGGCACTGAACTTTCTTCACACAAGCGCAAAGAAAAATATGCTCAGGTTGTGTGAGCCTACGGCCTACCGTCGCATGAGGTTTCTCTGCTAATAACCAGCGGACGCACCGTTGGAAACCCGTTGCAAGACGTGTGAAACGACTCTTCACCGTGCCATCAGAGGAGTTGCTCAGTCTCCACAGCGTGGCGCCGGCATTTGGTCTGCCAGCTCACAAATGCCTTGAGCAAAGGCTCCCAAAAGGGCTCTCGCAAGGACACGTATGTGTTTTGCAGCCGAGCCGCCACGAGAAAACATGGCACGATGCCCCAGAGGCTTGATCTCGCACATGTCCCACAAGGCAGGGTCGATGGCTCCTTGGAAATAATCAAACAACCGTTTCAACAAGGTAAGCTTACAAAGATAATTCAGTGCAGGCGAGGTACTAACGCCAGCACTGCCAGCACCACCGACTTTCATCGAGAGGAGCCGTGAGGTGTCGGCGTTGAACTTCTGCTTCAGCCTCGGAAGCAAAAAGTCCTGACGTTCTTCTTGCCAAGACTGGAAGTTGTTTGCTCTTCCTGATCTTGGCTTCTAAGCTCGACACGCTGGGAAGTACTGCAGGAGAACTCCTCTGCCTGCAGGCGAAATCAAATTCAATTCGCCACTGCTCACGTGTACAAGCCTTTGTCAAGGCCGCGCAACCACTCTCGGAATTGCTCCTGCGGCATTGCTAGTTGCACTTTGTTGCTGCACCTATGGCAAAACGCATGACTGCCCTGCACTGCTCAAGTCCTCCAGCACGGTGTTGACCTGGTCGTACTTGCTGCGAAAATACCTGCAACATTCAATCAGCAGTAGCTCTGCCCGTCTCTGCCAAGTCCTGCGGCAGCAAACCCATGTAAACCCTTGATCAGGATTATGCGGCTCAAACTTCTGTCAGAGGGCCGGACTCTTCGAGCGCTGTTTGCGGCAGCTTGGAAGCACTGCCATCCTGAAATCCAATAAGGCTGCACTCCGAGACCTCTGCAGCATGGTGGCATGGACCTTCGTCGACCAGTAGACATAGAGAGCAGTGTCCTGATCATGCAAATAAACTATATTGCAGACTGGTAAGGCGAAACTCAAGAAGGCAGTGAGCAGCAATGCAACTCTGCGGCAACAAACTCCTGGTTTTCATAAGCGCTCACCTTGACTTTCTCGTCTTGAATCGTTACCCTCTGACAAGCGTCCACCATGGCCTGCACACCAGGAGCCCGTCCTAGACAGGTTTCCCCAATAAGTGTATGACATGACAAAGCCATATGGTGTCGGAAATTAAATGCAAATCATCGCCTGCCGCACTCTCGCGGTAGGCACTGTGACGATCGCAGCACCGTAGTTCTGATTCTTGAGAACCAAGACCCCCTCAACCTCGAGATGCTTGAAAATTCACGTACAAACACTGCACGTGTTTGCAACGCCGGTTGAACCCGTGGCTCAGGCGGGGATCCGGAAGCTCTTGCATCCTTGGATAAACGTTGCCCAGAAGGGCTACGTAGTTTGCTCACTCCAGCCGAGTAGCTGTTTTTGTCGTGTGGCTCCGCGGTCTCCGCAAAGGATTTTCTTTGAGGAGCCTCCACATCCGCATCATGTCGCACGTCAAACTCAAGGAGTAAGTGAACCGCACAGGCTATACGGTCCTGCTTCGTTTAGCTCCTCCCATCTTGCCTTCGAGGGGAGCGCCGGCTCTGGGTCGGAAGGGCCAGTCTCAGTGGCGAGGGAGCGGTCCGGCTCCGCATGCTCCGCAGGCTCCACGTGCTGCGGGGGCTCCGCCACTGGCTCCGCTGGCTCCGGCCCCCGCGCACTGGGTCGTGGCCGTCGCCGGCTCGGCCGAGGAGCTGGAGCCTCGCAAGGCTCCGCTGGCTCCGCTTCCGGCTCTTCGGCTTCCTCGGCCTCCTTTCGAACGGGCGGTGCCAGGCTGTCGTGCAGCGTCTTGGAGCCCTCATCCGTCGCTTCGGCCACTTCGGCCTCCGCCTCGTCGGATCCACTCGAGATCTCCTCGAATAACCCCTGCAGCCTCACGCTTACAGACTGGGCAGGGCTGGGGACACTTCAGCGCGGTGCATCCATGTGCCTGCTCAGCAATTTCTCGTTCGAGTCGACGCTGTCGCCAGGCGAGGACGGAGATCGGGGCGCGGCATCTTTCGCGCAGGACGATGCGGCCGGCTGCTCGAGGGATTCATCCGGCCGAGAAGCCAGAGCCTGCAGGCTACTGTGGTCGCGAATGCAGCATCTACCACCAACCGTCTCATAATGCCGAAGTCGCCAGAGCCTCAACTCGTGAAGCCACTAGCGACGAAGCCGCAGCATAGGACTTGAGCAGCACATCTTCATCTGGCACAGGGCCCAAATCCAGTCGGAGGGGTTCGGGAACTCCCGAGCCTGCAGCCGGATCCCAGCTTCCCGATTGCACGCCAGCCCTGCATCGTTTTGAGACAGCAGATTGCAGACGACCACGTCCCTTCGGCCTCGTCGCTGTGTCTTCTTTTCCGCCTGGCATGGCCGATCGTCCCTGAGTCTCCTCAGTCCCCCCTCCCTCCCTCTCTCCCTCTCTCCCTCTCTTTCTTTCGCCAGGGCTAGGGGCGCTCTCTCTCTCTCTCTCTCTGACTCTCCCTCCCGGGCATGGGGACCGATCAAAGCCCCGGGGCATAAAGCCCACCCGATCGTTGTTTAGTTAAGGGGAGTGAACAACGAATGTAGTTCAGCAAATGACTAAGCCGTAAAGTATACGACGCTTGCTCTCTCTCTCGCTCTCTTGCTTGCTTGCTTGCTTGCTTGCTTGCACGCAGTTTAGAGAGCAGAGTTGCCCCTGCCCTCTTGCGCTCTCGCGCTACGGCCCTTGTCTCTCGCTCTCTCTCTCTCTCTCTCTCTCTCTCTCTCTCGCTTCCTTCCTTTCTTCTTTCCATGGATTCCTCTTCCCTCCGACCGCCCCGCCCTTGTGGGAGCTCATCTACACCGCTCCCGCTGGCCATTAACTAAGAACTGGAAGTGTAACACCGAACTAGCAGAAGACCGCGAAAAAAGCCAAACACGAGCCCTCTCTCTCTCTCACATTCCCTCCCTCCCTTGCTATTGTTTCTCGAAGCTTGAAGAGAAGCAGCGCGCCAACACTACTGTCACCGGCTTGAGAAGAGGTCCCACCCCCGGTGGAAGGGCCCCCGCTCGAAAACGTTTCCGGCCTTTTGGGGCTTTGGCTCTGGTGGTCCTTTGCTCCGGTTTCTCCCGGAGAGGCACGGCCCAAATGTGCCAGCGGCGCGCCAAGCAGGCAGAGGCAGTCCCATCGTGATTGCGCCAACGTTGCTTGTATTGGATGACAATTGCGAGTCTCACGGCGACTCTGCTTGGGAGTTTATTGCTGTGCCGGTGCCATGTTGCCACATCGAGCCGCCTGACGTGGTTGTTGTACAGGAACGGTCAGGCTTTTTCCATACGTGCTGGCCAGGCCTGTTCTCCATCTCAAGGATGCCTCTGTTCGGTTTTGAGCTCGAGGACATATTTGGTTCTCGACTCCTGTCTTTTCGGCCTTTGGTGGGCAGGGAGGTAAGTATTCTTCAGGCGAGGATGAGCAGGACGAAGGTGACATTTTGCAGTCACACTACCTCGACCCTAGGGCTCAACTCGGGTTGGATCGTTTCTATCCCTAGCCTGCACACCGCCCGTATAGTCAGTTTTGCTGGCGTTTTCCGTGCTCGTCACTGCTCGTACCGACGGCACCTATCCACTCCAGCGGAAAAACTCGCAGATCCAGCCTTCCGCTTCCTGTCTACTGCGCTTTGCCGCAGCCTTAGGCCTGGCCTCGACAGAGCGCTGCAAGTGCAGAACAGGACGGAAGCAAAAATCAAGAGCCCCACGGCAAGGAAGGTCTCCTTCCTTTTCCGACCTGGGCTTCGGCTTGATCTCTTGGATCTTGGCCTCTCAGACAGTTGCTGCGAGGCTGTGAGATGCTGCGAGTTGAAGCATGACGACCACGAGTCCTCGTGAAGGGGCTTCTCGACGTTGGCGGACTGTTTTTTCGACGACCTGTACACGTCGGAAGCTGGTCTCGCTGCAACAGCACCCCGTGCGAATGCTGGATCACTCGCGTCGCCTGCTGGGTGCGTCTTGTCTGCTTGTTGGCTCCTGCCGTCTGCAGGAAGATGACGATCACTACAAGACTGCACAATGACATCTACTACGCACTGCATCCAGCACCAATTAACGAGAATGATCAGCAGAAGCCGCAAAGACCTGACTCAGCCTAGTTGGACCGCCACAGCAAGTTGCTCAGTCTTGTAGTAGAGTTTTTCAACGCTGCAGTCAACGTCGAACTTAAGGAGCCACGGTTCTGGTGCAAAGTGCAGGCCACCCGCGCTCGGAGCAGTTACGAGTAGAAACGAAACTACGTTTGGAGCTTGTGTGCTACTAGCATGGTCTTCTGACGGTGGATGGCGAGCTGCTTTCAAACCCTGGAATGCTTGGGGTCTCCTGATGCAGTGCTTTGCCTTGTTCCTCCTCTTGCTTGGAGCTGGATCGCCCGCTCTGTCCTGCACAACTGACTAGCGGAGTGACTAGTGTTAGTACACCGCTCGGATGCTTCTTTGCCCGAAGCAAGCCATCTGCCTTGCCAAGTGCGCCGAGAAGTTGCTCTTCGTAAAGCTTCGCTTTGGCGAGATCCTCGCAACGGCACCAAGTCTTGACCAAGTTTTGATGGCGTGGGATGTGAACCAGTCCGTGCGAGACACCTTGTCGACACCGGTGCCCTTTCTGTAGTGGTTGCTGAGATGTGCACAGGCAATCGCGTTGTGCCTGAAACCCATCAAAGCACGCCACAGTGTCACAAATCATGCTAGGCTTTGCACGAGGCTGCGGACTGTCTTCATGTCTGAAACCCAGCGACGGGTCTCTCCGCACAGCGGCGTGAAGCATGCTCACACTTAGTTCCTGAGCTCAGTGGTGAAATTGAAGCACCGGCTCTGCTTCACGTACAAGGTTTAAAACGATGTCTCCGAACAGAATCCTGGCTTATGCCGAAGCGCCACCTCGCCTTGCAGCCATGCTTGTCCACTCCGCTCAAGCATCATGCTTGCCGACCCACGTTCGCCTGCAGGCAGGCGAGTCTTGCGCACGCTGGTTGGCACGCACATGTCCAAATACAGGCATGAAGTGCTGAGCATGTGGCTGGACGAGTAAGATGACAATCTGCAGAGCGGACCTCAAGAGTCTCAAGAGAGTTGCAGTTGGAATGCTCAGACCCGACGCTGCCACGGTGATCGATCGTGATCGGTAGCCACTTCAGGCCCTGGCAATCATCGTCGCTCTTGCAGTACTTGCGCATCTCCTTCGCCAGCTGTGGGAAAGCTGAGCATGGTCGAGGGCTCGGACGAACACTATAGAGACTCTGTTAGGTACAGTTAGGGCTGACTTAGTTAGTACGCGTCGGATGACAGGGTACGCGCCAATACAAGCGCCGTGGCCTTCTTTTTGGGTCTTGGCTTGCCTCAAGAGGCCGGGCTTCTCACACTTTCTGCGGAGCTGGGTTCACCCGGTTACCACCGCCATGGATACGGTTAGTCAACCCTCCCCGGCGCCTGGATGCAGTCTTTGTGAAAGACATGCTGCCAGCGGAGGGTCCTGGTGCGGCCTGCCACATCGTGCGGGAGTCTGTTCCTATTTAAGGGGTTCCAGGAGCCCCACCTCGGCTAAGCCTTTGTAAGCACAGCTTGCAGGACTCTATGGCAGTGCCGGCCATCTCTCCGCAAAGAGCTTGTGGCAAGCATTGGGGCGCCGTCTAGGTCCAAGAGAAGCCCTACTCCAAGGCTCAGGGCCAACAGGACGATTCCTAACAATCTACGCTAATCTACTACAGTTCGATGAAGCGCTCAACAGGCTACTCATGTCAACGGGGCGACTTCCGGAATCAGTAGGTCTTGTATGATGGACATGCAGCCAATGGCTAATGGAAAGCACACTTCAGCAAGGCGATGAATGAAGAAATCGCATCCCGGTCCCCAAGTGACACAGTGCCTGCTGCGATGGCGGATTGGACTTTGGCCACAACCTGTGGAGGCAGCGCCCTCCCACCTGCTGTTCGGAGCTTCGCCTGCCGCGAAAAACGACGGCTTTGGATTTGTTCCACGGAGTGTTCGCTGTCCGTTTACCTCCAAGTCGCCCTTCTCCGAATCGAGTTTTTTGTAGGCCTTCAGCTCACCAGGCCGCGGACGACAAGTCCACAAGCACTCTGGCAGTAATCCCGTTTTGCGCCGCGTCCGCTTTACGTGGACCCTCCTTCGGCTACATCTCAGGCGCGCAGAGCGTGTTGATCTGAGCAGCAAGCGAAGGCCTGCAGTGAGAAACTTCAAAAGGGACCCGAATCTTCAAGAACCCTCTGCGCAGGGTCATTGGCAATTACACTGTCAGCCACAGCTTTGAGATCACAATCCTTGGTCACGACGAAATCGTTTGGGAAGGAACTCCGCCACGGCAGGATTGCGACGTAAGGCGGCCAGCCAGAACCTACCTTTGCACACAAACAAAAAGGATTCAGCAAGAAAGTCTGCATTCAGAAGGCAATGGACGGCATGGGAACACGACCGCCTCGATACTTCCACATGCAAAAAGCTGGCAAACGTGCCAGAAGCCAAGGTGCGCTTTTGCTTCAAGTCCTGCATATGAGTACTCTCAGGTCTACACTACTCGCCAGAATCCTGCAGACAGAGGTGAGACCCTGCCACCCAGCCTCTGCAACAAACCTCGCTAGGGACACGTGCGGGATTGCGAGAAGGACGAATGAAGCAACAACACTGTCATCAGCGAAGTCACATTACGGCAGAAGGGTTGCTGGCTACGGCAGCACAAGCAATCTGCAAATCCTCCCGGAATTCGGGGGCTGCCCACCTGCAGCAAATCACTGCAAATGGAGATGGTGGGTTCAGCGATCACGGTTGCACAGCAGAAACCGAGCGGCTGCAGCACAGATCCGCTGCTGCGTACGGCTTCAAGGAAGACATCGCGCCGACTGCGAAGCTGTCTATCTGCGTAGACGACGGCGAAGCCTGAGACAGTCTCCGAGGTTCGGTGCCAGGTCAAGTTTTCCGGATTTTCCAAGCCACCATTCTGCTTCACTGCCGCAAGGACAACTTCTGCGTCGGACTTCAGGCTGCCTGAGGACTCGCCGAACCCAGTAACTTAGGAAGCTAATGCTTCACCGACATCCACGCTCGCCTGAAGCATACTGCAGCATGGTCCCCTCCTGACGCACCGCAGCCATTACCACTTCCCGATCGTCCCGCATTTCTGGGCATGCATAGCCCAGCCTGCAGCAGTTGGGCACTGGCTCACCTACACGACCACACCCAGTGCTCACCTACCACTTAGCCGAGGCACACAGCACTGTTGCTCACCGCCGCCAGCACGATGTCACCTTGCGAGAGCACTTCTGCATATCTCATGACCACGGGCTCAAGGTGTCGGGGTGGCGATCAATCTGCAGGTGCTCGTTGATTCGGTTCAGCAGAAAGCCATCGTTGCTCACAGCTGCCAGCGCCACCTTCTTTCGACTTGCCCATACGCTTTGCTCTGTTCCGGACAGCGAGTCGCGGCGAGCCTCTCGATCTGATTTCACCGAATCCGGCAGGCTCTTGAAGATTTTTGCACTCTGCTTGACCGCCGCAAGTGCAATGAGGGGATTGGTCTGAGCGAGCTCCGGTGCCACGTGCTGAAACGCCACGAAATCCGATTTCACTGCTGTGAGTGCAATCTCCGGATCACGCTTCCTCGGCTTATGAAGTTGGTGCAGATGCAGCATGTTTGAAATACCTTGCACCTGCAAGATAGACTGGAGTGGCGAAGGATTCAGGGACTAAATAGCGGCTAACTAGCGGTATGCCCAGCATCAGGTCTTCATCAAGGACAAACTTCAATGCCTGACTTGAGTACATGTTTAGCTTGAATTACTCAACCTGAGCACCTCAGCCAGGCCTGGCCATAACTGCAAACGGCAGCGAGCCTGGAAGGGAGCGGTTGGGATTCTGGTTGAGGCGAAGCAAATGAAAGAAGGCACGAAAAGACATAAAAGAACGCCGCGAAAGGCGAGATGGAAACGACAGAACAAAACATCTTCGACCTGATTGCTCGTGTGCTAATGCAAAGCGCTCAGCTCCAAGCACCACTTCCCGGTCTTTGCGAAAAGGCGGTGCCAAGTATCTCCAAGAGTGCTGCAAGTTTACAAACCTAGATCATAAGAACGAAGGGTGCTGCCTTAGAGCTGCACCACTGCTCTTCACTGCAGCCAAGGCTATTTCACGGTCCTGGCTTTGAGGAGCGCTGAATCATGGACCAGATGTTGGGGTGCTTGTTGTGCCACGGTTTCTTGGAACGGCTCGCTTTCGCAACTAGGCTCCTCTGTACGAAGTTGCAAAGTTCACCGCCAAAGTCTCGTGTGGCTCAAAACGATTCGAAGCGGCCACACTCTGCTCTAAACGAGTTATTCCGTGTGTTCCTGCGGGTTGGACCTCACGAGCCTGTCGCCAAACAAACTTTCCTGAACTTGAACTCTCGCATCGAGGCTGTCGGCCTGCAGTTTAAAGCTCTTCTTTGTCTCTTCGAGCTGTCCGTGTTGAAGGCTTTCCACAGCTTTCCGCGTGTTAGATCCGACACTTTTTTGAGTCCAATGCTTCTCGTCTTGGGGCTGACCATCACTCCGATGAAAGGCCCGCCCTCACGTCTGTGTTTCAATGTGTCCCACTCCGTCGGGCCTTTGGCAAGTTTTAAGGTTGAGGGACAAAATGGTTCACGTCCGACTTTGGTGCTTTCGGCATGTACCATTCATGCCTGTCTCAACTCGATGAACGTGGCTTTTCCGTCTGCTCACGGATCTCGGGCGAAAACCACTGACTAAGACGAATTTCGTCTCTTGCAATGGTGCATCATGCGCCGGTCCTCTGCTAATGTCGCACTGACATACTGCACCGCTGATCCGTGGGTTGTCACGGCGCTCAGAGCCACCTGCAGGACATTCATTGAGCCCGCATCAGCAGCTTTGTGTAGTCTGAATGATGCCAAGAGGAGGAGCCCCGAGCAACAAGTGCTGGTCAGAGTGTGCGGCTGGCGAAAGCTCGCTGAGTCATCCCGCGCCTCGCGGTCTGCCTTCAATGGCTCGGCGGCATGGCGAACCTCAATGCCACGCTCTACACCTCTCGCTGATTCCTTCACTCATTCCTGTTCTTCTGAAGCAAGCTCCACGCGGCAAAGGCATCATTTGCCACTGCTGCCATCACGATTTCTCTGTCAGCCTGGCCCGGGATGCTCCTTTTGGCAGCGAATTATCTGCTAATCGTTTGGATTCGGCGTTGCCTTGAGGGAGTCGTCTAGATACCGAAGCACGAAGCCACGGTCCCTGACCGAAGTCAAGGCAATCTCCCGGTCTGCACGCAGCTCCGGCGGCGCATGGAGGATTGCAAAGCCCGTATTTTTCACCTCTCCGACGAGTTTGGGGAATTTCGAATGCTGGAAACAGCAGGAAGCTTCGATGATCTTACTTAAGTTTTTGCTAGGCAACGGCGGCCAGAACGATGTCCCGATCTTGGCACAGCGGTTCCGGAAGGGTCTCCAGACCTGACAGTTTTTGGCCGTGCTCTCCTTTTAAGCGTCTGGGCTCGATCTCTGGCCCGCTGCCCTCTGGTCTGGGGCACCAGCTTAGGCCGTTGCTGCGTACCGACTGCAATGCCTTGGCACGTGCGGGGTCTTCTCGCAGCAGCACCAGCTCCAGTGACCTTGAAGAGAGAGAGAGCGAGAGAGACAGAGATAGACAGAGAGAGACAACGGCCTTTGTCCCTAGGTCACCTAGCACCTGGAACTCATGCTGCTGTTGTTGTTCCCAAGCCTCTCCCGAATCGCAGTTTGTTTTTGGAAAGGGACGTAGTCGAGTGGCAAACCCGGCGCAGCGCCCAGCTTGCCAAGAACCTCTTCATCCCTCAGCTCGCGTGAGCCGTAGATCAGTTGCTGCTCGATGCACGGTATCTCCGTCAGCGAGCAGATGCAAGTCTTCACATCCTGAGCTCGGCCATGCTTTCAGCTCAGCAGCCTGGGGGGAGGGCATGGTTCGATTTGTTAAAGTATGCCCAGTGTCCAGAATGGTGCTGTCCACATCGCAGTGCAGGGAACAGATGAAGCCAGACAGCCCATTCAAACGTAGCTCCATGAGCGCGGCCAGTCTCGGATGCTTCTTGTTGAATCCACCTTAAATGCTGTAAAGCCTGCAGTACGGGGATGGCATGCGTATGCTGCCCTGGCTGCAAAAAGCAGCAGGACTTCCACAATTAATGCTGCGAGCCATGGCAAAGCCAACTGCGCTCTGGTGAGCCGAAAACAAAGAGCGATCTAGCTTGCTGCAGTCTCCCGCACGGAACGGACTTGTCTGATGAGTTCTGAGCAGTTGCTAGCTGCTTGAGCTTCTTCACCTGCTCCTGGTAGCACAGGCACCTGCCCCTCTTCGTGCTTTCAAAAGCCGGTGAGTCCTTCGTCTTTTCCTCGGCTGCCTCAAGATCCTGAAAAGATCTCTTCGTGTTCCCTGAAACCTGCATTTGACGCAGTGGCCTTCCGGAGCGATGCAACCTCCTCAAAGCTTCCGCTCGTGCTCAACCTTGGAGCCCGGAGGCTGCGACAGGCTGCGATGCGAGGCGCATGTCTTGGTCTCAAGCGTCTCGGACGAGGATGGAGAAGCCTGCAGCCACACACGACACAAGGCACTTCCACAGGTCAGCATTTGCGACCGTGCATGGCCTGAGCACCTCCCTTGAAGTACTCCAGCTCTTTCCTCAAATCTCACCAGACTCGCAGAGACTTTCCTTGTTCCACAAGCAGCTGAGCAGCCCCTGCTGATCGAGCTGTTTCGCCTGCTTCTTTGCCAACTGCCTCGGCAGTCGGTGAGTTGGACTGTCAAAGCTTTGCCCATTGCCCACAGAATCTGCCACAACGTCTTTGACAAGGCGCTCCAGCTGCTCGATGCGTGTCTGTGCCTCTTGCGAGCCCTGCACACATTTCAGGAGGAGAATATGTGAATCTTGCCTCAAATGTTCATGTGCTTCTACCCTTCCGCATCCTTCCACGGTCCACCCTCCCCATCCCCTCTTCCGTCCTCCGCAGCACTTCCAGTAATTCTCGGCCTCCCCTCGAGGTCTAAGGCAAGCTGTGCGACGTCCTCGAAGGCTGCAAGGTACTAAAAGACAGGGGCATGGCCCACCGCTGCTCCTTCTCCCAGCGCTCATGGAGCTGAGCTAGCTCTGCATGCTCCTCAGCTGCCTCCTCTTCCGTGGGCCTTAGAATGGGAAATCTTCGCCCTTCGCCATCTTCGCCGCCTTCGCCCAGCCTCCACCCTGTCTGAGCATCCGGCATACCTTGGAGCTCCCCTGGAAGCGAAAGGTTCGGAGACTTTGCCTGGAGCCAGGCTGCTTGGTCTTTGAGCCGCTGCGCCACAGACCTCGCAACATCGCAACTCATCGCATCGAGCGATACCCGCAGGAGCATCCCAGCGAACCGAGGCACTGCATGTGAGCCAGCTTCCTCCGCGTCTTCTGAAGCTCGCCTGCCACAGCCGTTTGAAATAGTGTGAAGCAACAAGCCGACGCTCTTTTCCCACCTCGCACGAGGGCGTTCTGGGATCGGTTGACCTGCTGAAAGCTTTGCAGCTTGAGGGCCATCTTCGCCTCGTCTCCTCTGGCTCGATTCATCTCGGCCTGGTGGCAGAAGGGCCAGGCAGAAGTTCCGCTGCCATTGACGATTGGGTTTAAATTTGAGGGTTCAGACCAGGGCTGTTCCGCTCATGCCTCATGAGTTTGCAGACGGGCTCACCATAAGCTGCAGAAGACGATTTGTGTCACTCCTGCACCATGCCCAGCCCAAGCCTGCGCCTCCTGCAGTTGCGACTGGGCGGCTTCCTCAGTTGCAGTGATGACATCATGCAGAGACTGGGCTGCATGCAGTGCTGACGAGAATCCAGCTGCTCCGCGAGCTGACTATACTTCTCCTCCATCTCCGGATGCATGTTGGCATCATCAAACCCCAAGTCCATCATCTGCTGCATTCTCGAATTCGTCGGCGGCAACATCGATCTGTCAGCCATTGTCGGGTCGTAGACCTGCACGGCCCGTGCCTTCCCTCAGTGTCTCAGTCCCAGGCCCTCTGCGGTCTTAACCATCTTACAGCACCCCTGCCTTTGGCTTCTGGAAAAGCTTTTCCGCCATCACTTCACGGCCGTGGGTTGCCCAGGCAGCCGTCGAAAACCCCGCTGCTCTTTTGAGCAGTCTGTCGGATAGCGGTCTAAGAGGCACAACTTGCAGAATGGATCGCTGGTTTGCGTGTCAAGGATGCATCTGTTGGCGAATGCAACTTGTCAGCTTCGGCTTCGGAGTCTCATGCATTCATTCGTTCATGCCAGCACTGCACAGCTTCTTGAACTTAAGACCATCTCATCTCGAATTCCCAGGGAGGCTCTTTCCGAAACCCTCCCGGCAAAAGTGCTAGAGCCTTCGGATGCACGCAGGGCATGTGAGTTTGGTACAAAGGATGGTGTCTGCAGCGCAGTTCTAGGCCCAGGTGTTGTTCGACACAGAGCCTGGGACAGAAAGCAGCATTTTCTCGGCGCACATCCTTCGAAATCCTACGCTTTCTGCGTTTGTTGCTCGAACTCGGCTGGAAGTCGCCCTGCGTGGCCAACAACACATGATCGCACTGCAGCACTGATGTCGGTCAAGATGCAGCCTCCAAGCACTGGGTCGATATGTAGGACGGCAGCGCCACACGCTGCCACGGTGCGCCTCCAAACCAGGTCACCTCGGCAACGGCAATGCCAAAGCTTCCACGGGCGGTTGCAACTTCAACAGACCCCTATCGTGACTTGTCGTGGTGACTGGGCGTTGCCACCGCTAGTGGAAGCTCTCTTGCGGGGCGACTGCTCTTCGTCCAACGCTCGGCGCGGAGGACATCACAAAGGTTCTGGCATCGCCGGTGCAAGCCACCCTGAGAAAGCCCAGATGCTGAAGCTTTCAGAGCAAAAGTACAGAAAGAGGCCAAGCCTTTAAGGGCACCAGCTTCCGAGAGCTTGCTGCACGCTGACGCTTTGCTCGCCATTCGAAGCGGGCGGCATCCTCCTTTGTTGGGAAGCCCTTGACCTTGGCTTGCCATGTGACTCGACTTCAGGCATCAGTAGTTTTCGGAGAGCAGGGGCATGGTTTGCGAATCGCAACGCAGCTTGCTGCAATCGAAAGCTGTCTGCACTCGAGCCGAGAGTCCATGCAAAGCACCCGCCAGGGGCCTCCACAGCGCGTAGCCCTTGCGCCACCACACAGCTCACCATTGTGTTGCCGCAGGCGCCTCTTGAGGTCCGTCGTGATGCCGGTGTAGGTCCTTCCCGCGCGCGGCATTGAGTTTAAGAGTTGTATCAAGCTAAGTCTTACAGCCCTTTACGATTAAGTCGGTCTTCCGCGGGCAGAACCCATGAAACCCAGGATTAATTAAATTGTGAAATAAATGTAGAATAAAAGCACCAAAAATGCGATTGCAAAATGTACCCTGGAAAAGCAAATGCAAAAAAAAGGAAGAAAACTCAAAAAAAAAACACTGGCTTCACTTTTTTCTCTTTTTTCCTACATTTTCTATATTCCCAACCCAGGCATGCACCCCAGCCACCAGTACAGCTTGCCACACTTTTTTTTGCATTTTTCACTTTTTTTGCACATCTCCAAATTCCATCGCATTTTGCGAAGCACTTTTTCGGTGCTTTTTTGTACAAAAATAATTCATTTGCCAAATCCTAGCCTGTGCCTGAATTCCCGGCCTAACTTTACGAGGCTCCGGAAGAGACAGGGAAGGCGAGATGGTAACTGCGTATGGGGTTCAAAGTTCACCCAGAACAGCCTTCTACAACGAACTTCGATGCGAGCACTGCAGTTTTCCTCTTGAAATAGCGAATGTCCTCGCACGGGCAGAGTTGTCCGACCGGAGCACATAGCAGCAGTAACCTGGAAAGGGCCGTGCGCAACCCTGCGACAACGACACTCTCTGTCCCTCCGCACTGTCACCGGCCAATGCGGCTACCAGTTTACGTGGCAGCAGTCTATGTCAGAAGTAGTCGCCTTCGCTGGGTGCGGCGTCCTCGCTGGTCTCCTCCTGCAGGTCTTCACAGGATTCCACAGGTACAACAGTTGCAGCTCCGGGGCGACATTTGGAGGCGTGCCTCATCGCTTATCTCGATCACATTCACCTCCCGTCTCTGCTCCCCTTTTGGGCCTGCAAAGTACGGGCGCAGCATAAAAGGGCTGCAAAGTCCGAGAATAGATGTTCACTGCCTCCGTCAGCCGATGGACCGCCTGCGACTTCCTTCCGTGCTGACCGTGTTGCGGCCGCGGGGCGCTTTTGAGAAACAGCCATGGAGCAACGTTTGTAGGACGAGGATGGTTCAAACGTGATCCATGCCGCAGTTCTTTTCCAAATCCATTGTGGTGTTCCTAAGCCTACCAGTAGCATGCAGCTGGCCACATGCCTCTTGGGTTTGATATGTTTTGACGGACATCTGAGCACGTCAGTACGTTTTAAGCGGAGTGAGAGATAACAACGCAGTTCGGAGGACACTTCTCGCATTCTTGCCACCGCCAGCTTTTCACAGAGCGGCGCGCTTTGACGCTTTGATTCTGCGGGGAGTCAGCCGGAACCGCGCTTCTCCTGCGGTGTGCTGGGTGCGGGCTTTGACGAGGTCGCTATAGCTCTCTGGCGGCCGAAGAGCCGCGTCGGCCGCGTCTAGGTCCGCCAAGGAGACGAGTCCAAGAAGCCGCGGCCTCGAGAGAAGCGACAACGAGGCAACCGAGCCGCGACGCCGCAGCACGAGGAAGCGACGGGGTCTCCAGAGATGGCAGGTCCTGCACAAAAGGGTTCTTTCGGAAAGGGAGAAGAAGAGGAAGCAACTCAGGACAACCGAAAGTTCCGGTGCGTCCTCGAAAACGGCGAGGCGCCCTCCGGGTCCGAGTCGAAGTAGCTCTTGCCGTGCAGCTTCCAGGGGCATCGACCTCATCTCCAAAATTTATCAGCTGTGGAGCACCTCATGATTCCTCAGCGCACGACGGCTCGACAGCGGAGACCTGAGGACTTTCAGCTCGAAATTTGCACAGACAGGAACCTTCTGCCTTCTGTGCTTCTGGCATCGGGCGGCAGCTCCTGCAGCGAAGCGACTTTGAGAAATCTTGGATGATGCTCCCTCATCAAGCTGCCTCCAGAGCAGATTCGCACTGACAGAGAAGCCTGAGAGGCTCACCTGTTTCGACGCAATCCCTCGGGCAGACTCCGACTACTGTCCGATCGGGCCTTGGGAGCGTGCAGCTGGAGGTGGTGCCTGGGAGCAAACGTTGCGAAGTCCGCCGATCCGATGGTTTTCTGACATCGCCTGTGTGGAGTCCGCTGGCATCCACTGGCTCATCATCTTGGGTATGCCCCTGGACAGCAGGTCTTCCACGTACACAGCCACACCTTGCAGCTGGGAGGTCAAGACCGAGCTTCGTTATTTCGCCCGCGTCGCGACGTTTTTGGTGCATCGGAGTTCATCGCAGTAGCCGCATGCTAAGGCTGCTAAGGACATTGGGGTCGCGTTTTGGCAAAACTGTGCCTACGGCTGCGACGGTTGGAAGAACGACCCCGTAATCCTTCCCACCAGCCAGCTCGAGGAGAAGCACCACAGCTGTCAGCGGCACATTGCAAATAGAACCAAGGCAGGCGGCCATGCCGACGATAGCATAGGTGGCAGGTACAGAGAAGACGAATGGCCCCTCGCTCTTGAAGATAGAAAGCTCAGGCAGCCAAAGTGCGAACGGCCACAGGAAATCTCGCAGGCTTCGGCCTACCAAACCTCCTAAGCACGCACCGATGAACAGCGCAGGCGCAAAGAGACCACCCACCTGTCCAGAGGACTGGCACACCGCCGTGAGGAAAATTTTTGCAACGATGAGCAGAAACAGATGAGTGAGAGGATCGCCAGCAAACGCAGCTGGCGGCTGTCGAGAGCCGTCGACCTCTTTCAATATAAGGTTCACGTTCTCAAATCCCTTATACAAGACCTCCCCTATGTTCCCATAGAAGGAAACAACGGCCACCACTGCAGCAGCCAGCACGGGGAAGGTGAACCTGGCAAGCGGAAACAGGAACACGCAATCCAAGAGTTCAAAATTGCACGAAGACCTTTCCGTAAGATTCCGTAAGTCGCTGTCCGGGCCTTGGAGCACCCCAAGCCTCAAGGCAGTCAAAGGCGCCTTTGGCCACTTGGCGGGTGCTACGCAGCATGAAGGCTGCAGTGCCACACAGGAATCCCAGGGACATGAAGACTGGCAGCTCCCAGAGAGAACGTGTCGGTACCCAGCCGAAGAAATCCAGATCCACCGCAGGGCTGGAGCCAAGACCCAACTGAGATACCTCAATGCGAACTGCGTTTCTTATGTTTCTTCTGTTACCGTCTTTGACACGTCGTATAACTACTTTGTAATCTCGCAACGAGGATTACCTTACATCTTCTGGCCTTTGATTTGTGGTGCTGTGCACATGGCAATCCAATCCTAAACGGCAAAAGCAACAGCCGCTCGAAGTATCACAAGGTCCTTGACACATCCCCCCTTGAAGAACCAGCTTTTGTTGTTTCGGCTTGGGATTGCAGCTGCGATTCGGTGGCAGCCAACACGGCCGCCAAGAGCTGCATCGGAGGGCCCTTAGCTCTCGCATCCTCGGGGGCGCAGTTCGACTGAATCGACTCCAAAGAGAAGAAGAGACCTGCCACCGGCGCGTTGAAGCCAGCTGCAATGCCACTCGCACAGCCTGCTGCAAGCAAGTTCTGGCGCAATGCCCGCTCGGACTCAGTTTCCTGATTCTGGTACCCCGACAAGCTGGCAGCCACGTTCGCGCCGATCTCCACGCTCGGACCCTCCGGGCCCAGGGAGTTGCCACCGGCCAAGGTTAAACCAGCGGCCAAAGCCCGCAAGGGCGCCTCGCTGCGGTCTTGGGGCGGTGCGCCGCCCGAGGCCTTCAAGGAGGCCAAATCCGAGGAGCCAGAGAGGCCTTTCTGGCCCCGAAAAAGCAGCAGCAGACTCACGAAAAAAGCGGATATAACGGGGGCCAGCACAGCAAGCCCTGGAAGTTCCAGCAGAAAGTCTTGCAGAAGGTGGACAAAGTCGTTCAACAGCACAACTATTGTGCCAGTGGCAATACCAGCAACCGAGGCCAGAAATAGGGGAGAGGAAAGCGCACCGTTTGCCCGCATCGCAGTTCGTTCACGAGGGGCGGGTGCAACCCGAAGGCTCAAGTGGCTGGGCAAGAAACGGATGGGCGTCGCAATAGATCGGCTGCTGCTTTGGACAAAAGTGCTTGAGGAGCTCCACGTCGCGGAGAGGACTGGCACGCGCTTTTGAAGAACTGCCCCTGCCATCAAGGCCTCAGCATGTCCATGGATGCTGGAACTGAACTCTCAACCGCGAGCCCCGAACTTGCGAGTAAGCTTCTGACCGACAAGCCGGAACATGCCCGCCGCGTTCGAGCCGATTTCTTCATGCCGTGTTTACTTTGGGAGCACAGATATGAAGAAATCAGCTTTTCGTCAGGTCGAATTAAGGAATTGACCGATCCGTTCTGTCATGCGATGCTGTGCGTGGAGTTTGCTTGTCTTCACCTGATAGTCTGTCCACATCTGATCGAGCCATGCCAGCAGATGTAACATGTCATGTTTCGATGTGGCTTCGGGGATCGGCAAACACGCTCCGAGAAAGGCAGAGGGTGCTTGGTTGTACGAAGTACGATCAGCGATGGCATGGATGCGCAATACGGAAAAATGTGATGTGTGAGTGGTTGGACAAAAATATAGACTTGCTCCACCGACCCCGGCTTGGGTCAGAAAAGAGTTGAAGTCATGTCGCCGAAGCCTCTTTGTTCCACACTGCGGAACCCGCCACGAAGACAAGAGGTGGCGGTCTGCAGGTGCCAATTTGGTTCAGTTCAGGCCAGGCGCGGGCGCTTCGCAGCCTCAGCGAGGGCAGGGGCGCCTCGCCAAGCGCCTGTTCTCTGGCATTCTCTGGCCTGGCCTGGAAGTTGGAGCCTCTCAGCTTCCTCGGCAGACGAAGCCCAAAGATCCGCGAAGCGCGATTGCGGTTAGGTGCCCGGGCCCATCTCTGCCTGGCACAGTCCCGATTTCCCACTCGCCATGGGCCCTGAGACTTTCAGTCGCGATTTTTTTGGAGAAGCTTGGAGCTTTCCGAGTGCTCGACCAGGTGCACTGGCCAGCCTCCTCCAGCCAAGGAAGCGCAAACACTTCTGTGCTTAGCACTGCTGAAACTCCCACCTGCCTGGCTGCACTTGCCTTGCTCCCAGAACTTGCAGATGCTTCTACGTACATTGGCAACCTTGCATGGAAGCAAGCTCTGCACGCCGCTAAGCTGTCGCCGCTAGGAGGGACGGGATACATGCGCATCATATTTAGCTAGTTCAACCTTCATGGCAGCACCTTTGGCAATGAATCGAAGAAGGCCTTCATGCAACCGCGCCTCTGTTGTCTGCACCAGTGCTCCGCCCTTCCACGGCGGAAGTACCTTCATGCCTTCGAGTGCGTAGAAGAGTAATGGCTCGCATCGCGACGAACCGCCGCACGCAGTGTCCAGAGCCTCCTTTTAAAGCTGGAGGGCTCTGCTGTGGCAGCGTTTCCATGCGGTCCTTCGGAACGACTGGAGAGTAAAGTTGCTTGCTGAAGAGTCCCCTCATTGAATCCTAAACCCGGACCCGTCACGGCATCCTCAATGACACAACGGCAGCTACTATGGAGTCTGGCAAATGCGAGAGCCTGATTTTCCGGCAAGCCTTGCGCCATCAGCGAAAAAACATGCCCATTCACTGGATAACCGCTCTCGTTGCGAAGCTCGCATCTCATGTCCCGGATGACCTTTGGCTTGAGTGACATGTGCTGTTTTGTCGCAGGTGACAGCACAGCTACATTGTGGCCTGGAAGCTGCAACGCTGTGCCAGCGACAAGATGTACGCGTGGCTGTGGGCGATGCGGCCCGACCCCTGGCACTGCAGAAGGCAGAGTACGGAGTAGTCTCATCTGAAACCCTTTCCTGGCCTCCAGTTGGTAGCCCGGACACTCATCTGCCGGTTCCTCCGTTGAGAAAACGAAGAGGCCTGAGCTGCATCAGACAATCTTCCATGTACAAGTGCCCAGTTCTTCCGAGCCGACCAGCCTCTCTCTGGGCTGAGATTCTGCAGAACGAGGCGAAAGACCGCGGAGAGGTCGGTGACCTGGGCGTGGCAAGATCAAGTGCCATCAAGCGGTCGTCAAGCAGCATCAGTTGTTGACGACACGGGCAGCTTCTTCAAAACTCATGCCGGCGATACATAGCCGAAGACGTCTGCAGCAGCAACCAGATCGAAAGGGTCGGACCCTTCATAGGCCTGGACTTCGCGTGTGCCAACTCTCCTGTGTTGATCGACACAGACGTTGAAAGCCATCACTCTGAATGCAGTACGGGCACCGTCAAGTAGTGAGTTATCTCCGAGCAGTGCAGCTCGTCGTAGCATCCTTTTGCCTGTGCCTGGAAGCTTATCGAAGGCACCATCTCAGAGGGCAGACGTCGTCACTCGCCTTCTGCAGCATCTGGGCTGACAGGTCTACTGCCACGAGGTGTGCTCGAGGGGCTAGGTCCCGCAGCTGCTCGCCGAGCAAGCCGGTGCCTGCACTCCGGAGCACGGAGAAGCGTGTTAGCAACACAGCCTGCCGGCACTGCCGACCTGCCCCAAGATCGAGCATGCGCCGTAGGCAGGGCTCCCGGCGGGCCCAACCTTCCTGGCTCCAGCGAATTGCCTGCACGCTGCACAGCGGCCTCTCGGCATCGGCCTCTCGCCTCTTGGTCTTTGACACAACTTTGGCCTGCACGAGCAGCTGGGGAACTTGGTAGCCCAGTGACTCCAAGCTTGCATCAAAGCTGGCGGCATAGTGGTCAAAGAGGCTTACGACGTAGGATGACGCGATTTCAGCGGGTGTTCTTCGCTGTATGACGGCAAGCAGATGCTTGGCCAGGTCGATGCGGAGGCTTCTCTCTGTGAGCCCTGGTGTTCGCAAACGCCGTTCCTCCGCAATCTCCTGCACGAAACAACAGGCGGACAGATGATGGCTCCCATGAGACTCTCATTTCACTCCTGTCTTAGTCTTTGGCATCCGATCCAGGTGTCTCTTGCAAGCAGCCGCAGCTTCGCCGCGCAACGCGTCACTCTGGGTATGTCGAAGCCTGAGAGCACTGAGCATGGGGGCGGAAAACTTGTCCTGACGGGGCACATCTTCGCCTTCGCCTGGTTGCATCCCAGTCAACTCCCTCTATCAGGTTGTGGATGCTCTTGGTAGAAGTCGAAACATTGCAAGCACTGTGTTGACATCTTAGTAGAAGTCGCCAGTTACCTCCCTGATTTCAGCCAAGAAGCCGACGCTGCAGCAGCTCCGCCAACTCTAGAAAGGCCCGCTTGTGACGAGGCTTCCGCCGCGTGAGGTGCCGCAAGTGTCGCAGATGCGCCTGCAAAGCGAAGGCACAGGGCTGCCGTAAAAGCACAGAGACAAGCCCAAGCACGAGAGAGAGGCCAGGAGAGCGGATCAAGAATCAAGAGTATGAGCTGCTGCCAACCGGTAAAGGCCTTGTCTGAGCGGGCAGACGGGGCGGACTGCCCAGCCCTGTCCCTGCACCGCAGCTCCCTCTTCGGCCCCCACCTTTTCAGGCAAGGAGTCTCAGCTGAGGTCTCCTTTCCAAAAAAAAGCCGAGCCAGGCCTGGCCACACCTCGCAGCGCACGCCGGGCACGCTGAGCCCTGTCTTCCATGGCTCAGACCACGGCACGTTGCAACCTCTGACTTCGACTTTGCCTGCTTCAACCTCTCTTCAAAGAGGTCAGCGGAGCCGAAACTACGGTTGGAGTACAGGCGGTCCGCTGCACAGAAGCAGCGCTCAACCGAAACGCGGTCCTCCTCACCGTGTGCCCATGTGCAAGTCTCACCGCGAGAGCACTGGCCCTGCCAAGCGAGCATGCAACGGCCCGTGTACACTCCCCAACTCGAGTCTTTGTGCAGTTTCTTGAACAGCCGGAGCTGTCGCCAGTGGTTATCGAAGAACATCTGGCTACTGTCGAATGAGCAATTGCTGGAAGCCCGACCAATTGTCTGGCCAGTGTGTTCTTTTCCAGGGTCCGTAGGCTTGACCCCTCAATGTCGAGCAGCATGCCGATGCTGGATCTGACGGGGCAGCTTCCATCACTTGCTACGGGGTGGCCAGGGTGAGTCTGGTGGTTCTGTGCCACTCGATTTAGTTTAGATGTGTTCGACTTGCGCCATTCTTACAGATATCGCCCCTTCCTAGCCGACCTCTGCCAAGGAAAGCCTTGTCACCCATGCGATTTGCACGCTTGGCTCTGCGCAGCTAGTCACCCAGTCCCCAGAATTTATTCCAATTCTTTGCTGGACTCAACCAGTGAACCAATTGCCTTTGCCGATTCAGCTAATTCGATCTATTTTCGCCACTTGCCTCCAGCCAAAACTTGCAAATCGTCTTTTTCAAGGGCTGCTCTACAACTCCCTTACCGCCGTTCCAGCCTTGGATGTTTCCATGTGATGAACACGTCTGGCCACTGACAGCAATTTCTCACAGCGACTATAGTAGGTGCTTGGTCCAGCGATTTAGCAAGGATGAATTGCGGGATGCAGGATTGTACTTCTTGCGGGTTGCGGTGCATATTCGTGAGACTTGGTCGTTGCGGATCTTTCTTCTCCACAGTAGGAGGCCTTTGCACTTGACTTCTGTGCGGCTTGCTGCGACCACGGACTTGGAACCTCTCTTGCTTTCATGCACGACCCACCAACTCAAAATGGATGCTTCCCAGCATACAAAGAGCTGCGCCCTGCGCTTGGGGCAGTCCCAGTCTGCCCCCTGTTCATTTCCTTGACAGAATGTGCGAAGCTGGGAGTCCTATCTGATTGGAGGCGGCTGAGGCTGTCACCACGGCTGGCGAAGGAAGCGCCTACACATCTGCGGGCAGATGCCCAGAACCGTGCTGACAGCATGGGGCCTGAAAGGCACTGGTGAAGACCTTGCTCACACCGAAGTGGCTCGAACCTGGCTCAGCCCAAGGACCTCAGCCAGTTCACGTGCCACACACCTTGGCTGGCAACACTTGGTCTCCTGCTGTGCCGTGGAGGTTCCTGGCGCTAAGGAGTGCAACGATTGTCATCAAGAGTGTCTGAGACAACCCAGCACGGCTTTCGATTTTCTCGTGCTCCGCTCTTGCTGCTTCTGGGCAGCAACCTCTGTCTAGCCTAAACAACGCAGCGGCATCAAGGAGCTTCACATCTGCACGGCAATCAACGCGCAGGTCAGCTACCGCGTCAGTGAGAAAGGTGTGGTAAACCGTTTGGCTTGCATGCCCTGGGTAAAGGCCTCGAAGAGCTTGAAGTTCGCCTTTGACACTGCAAAACTGCATGAGAAGGATATGGTACTAGCTTCTTCTCACAGCTGCCGCATTATCCTATCCTTCCATCTGGAGCTGAAGCGCCTTCTCCATCATCTGTGAGCCGAGCCGTAGGTATGTCAATGACTTGAGAGCAGGCTTCCACACCAGCCTGGGCTGGAAACAACCTTACTCCGGATTCTAGGAGTCGCATAGCACCACAGCACCTGCAACACTGGGTAGGCAACATCTGGTTGTAGCCAGCCATATCCGTCACGTCCAGTGCATTCTCTCCCGTGAGTGAAGCTTTGGCTGCGCGGGTGGCCTCGCTTGAATGTCGTGACGTGAGCGGTTTCAAATGTGCTGCCGCATATGGACTCTGCTCATGCTATCATCTGAGGCTGTGGCTGTGATAACCTGAAAGACGAGCTCTTGTGGCCCGGAGAATGCATCGGTTGGTTGGGAGGCATCTGTCATCTCCATGCAGGTGAAGTCAAAGTACACGTCGAAGCTCTTGAATAGTCGAGCAAGGCGAGAATACCTGTGCAAGTGGGCACAGGAGAGGAGTGGGGGGGGGGGGTCTGCAACAGTTTGTGGGGCTTTGTGTGGTGGGTGCAGATGTCCAGACTGAAGTTTGGGCTAGCTGCGGCTGATTGTTGTTGGCGTTGTAGTAGCCAGCTGTCAGCTCGGCCGCGTGAGATGGTGTTTTGTACATCCAGTGAACGCCTGATGCAAGGTTCTTGTCTGTATGTGCCCTGTCTCTTAAACCAGATGATAAATGCGGCCTTGGCTCCTGCAACTTTGGCAGAAAGATCCACTGCATGACGAAACACGTCGCGAGCTGCTCGTAGAACCGTCTTGGCATGCCTCTCCAAAGACTGGGCGTACCAGTCGAGGAAAAATCGTCCTCAGGGCTGCACCGGCGGTGTTCCATGAGTTCAATCTCGCCAGGAAATTGTGCACTCTCACTGGCCTCGCCTCGTGCTGTCCTGTAGCCATCCGTAAAGAAGCGTGTAGTGTTCCAAACGCTGTTGTAGTTCCCAGTATCACTCGGAGGTGGGGGTTGGCCCCAGTCCGGCGGCCGTCCTGCGCGGCTGGAGGGATTCGAAGGAATAAGTTCTCTTTACAAGTCGATGCCAGAACAAACCAAAAAGGCAACGAGGCCATCCTATACTTCCGAATCATCGCGTCCTGCTCTCTTCGCAGATTCCTTAAGCGATTCCAGAGCGTGCACGTCGAAGCATTGGAACTCCCCAATGCCCGGATACTGCCAAGGGCCATTCCTTGTGCAGTGCTTGACGTGCTGATGGGACTGTGTAGTCTCTTCCCCCGTGATTCCGAACTGCTGCCGTCAGAGCCCCTTGGCTCGAGCGGAAGTATGCAACCCTCCTTTACACAGAAAGTGTTCCAGGTCGTATTGCGCACGGGAAAGGCAATACTGATGTAGTATACAAACAATGCGGAATTGTAGTGAACCCAAAACGCATTATGACAAGGCCTAGCACGACTGATACATACCAAATAGTACTTAATAGAACACTTAAATCGCCAAATGACCTTTGATGAAACTGACTGTTTCTCAACAACTGGAACACAACAACCAGTATTTAAGAATGGTCAACCGGCGACAAGAAAAAAAACAAACTCATCAGCAGTAACCCATAATGATAACAAAAACTCGTCGCAAATGAAAATATTGCAAATAAAAAATTTTGCTTGAACAATAGTGAATGAAACAGGTGTCCGACAAGATTCTCGTAAGAAGGGTATTTCAGCTCACCGTCCGTGCCGAGGCCAATCATCATCTCGGTGATGGTCGCTCCCAGATCACTTGCAAAAAAAGTGCGGAAGTGCTGCATCCAGTCTCCTTTTGGGCGGCCAAGGGTGCTTCTGGAATCGCGGTTAGAATGACTCGAATGATGTGTGTGAGCGTGAGGTTGCTGCTAGTGATGAAGCTGAGGGGCTGTACATCTTAACCGGAGTCCGGCCATGAATCTCCACATGATCAGCCCACAAAGAAATGTAGCTGAAGGTTTCCGAGCCATTGGCATCTTTGTACCATACGTCTCGAGTTGATAGGAGCCAGGATGGCAATGGGATGCCTGGGGACTGCTGAGTGGTGCAATGATTGCAACAAAAGCGCCCAAATTCAGCTGTGCATTCGACGCTCCCACTTGGGCTTCGCTTGAGGTCTTTCTGGAGGCCGAGCTGCTGGTGCCTTGAGCATGAAAAGATGTGACGACTTGCAGCTTGAACCCAAACTCCTTGACCAAGTCCACCCTTGAAAGCAGGAGTCGTTGCAGCAGCACGAGGCATAAACATGAAACATGGAGCTGACACCTGCGCTCCAACGCTTTTTTGCCGCCCAGCCACAGCTCCCTGTAGCCTGTAAAATCGTACTGCCCGGGTGCCGGCTCTGTCAGACCCCACCAACAATCCACCATCAGTCCTGACCGTCCCTGAAGCTCCCCTAAAAGCGCTCAGCGAGCCGCTCCAATGTACTCAGATACGAATCCATGTTTTGCACTCTGTTCGTCCGATTGTTCGCTGGAAACTCACCCTTCTCACCCTACTTAGGCGGTTTGCCAACTGAGCATCCATGGTGACCAGATGAAGTGATCAAGTGGTATTTGGAATTTTGCAGTCACCGATTGCCACGGTGAACACTCTTCCAGCGCATTGCCAGCCCTCTATACACTAACAGGGTCAATCGCAAGCGTGGCGGCTTAGTGCCTTGGGCAACAGGTCCTGTGACTTGCGCCTTGGCGAGTTGAGCGAACCAGTGCTTTAGCTGCTCCGGGTTCTTCAAGCGGAAGGCCTAAGCAGAGAACAGCTCTTAACGCGTTGCGTGTCCGCGGTGCCACAGCGCCTCGTCGAAAAGATCCAATGGCAGCATGACAAAGACTCCGGTGCCCGCATGCTGCCTGAAAGCGACTGGACGACAAAGCAGGTCCGTCGTAGATTTGAGGTTGCAATGCTATTCGCCGTGGGCTGGGGAAATCGATTTGAAGCGTAGTGGCCTGTGCCAATTAGGGTCAAAGCGAGAGCCACGGAACAGGTCCGCGCCACACGGGCCGAGGGTTGTTGGGGAAGCTTGGGGTGGATCCACGATGCGGCACAGTCGAAGCGAGCGAGGCTCAGCCAAGAAAGCCTTCCTTTTAACACAGCAGGCCCGGATCCCACCTTGCAAAACGCGCACCCGGCCTGGCGCTCGACTCGGACAGGCTGGGCCCGGGATCGAGGCTGTTCGTCCTGCAAGCACAGCACGGTGCAGCCAAAGCAAGCTCTGTCCGCGAGCTTTGGGATCTTGCAGACGAGCCACATCAGCATGCTTGCATCATCCGTCTCGCAGATGTCCGCGCCAGCAACAGCAAGGCTTGCCAGCAGCACGCAGAAGGCTCCCACCATGGCCAGCATCAGTATCGCACAGTTCACATCGAGTAACAGTACAGCAACCGGTTTTGAACTCCGTTCTGCTCTGGAAAACAGCGGCGGACGTCAATCATGAACTGAACAGGCAAAGTATGGCAAAGTTCAAGATCTTGTGGGACAGGCAGCCAAGCAACAGCCCGCCTCTCGACCTCGACCTTTGCCCTTGATGGCAAAGCCATCGCCTCATCAACCAAGGCTGTTGCAAGGGCTTGACTGCCCTGGAAGATGCACCGGAGTTTGCGGATGGAAGATTCGTTCCATGAGTGAACCAGGGCCAACACAAACTGGGATTCTTGTTACGAACTTCTTCCGGGCCTCGACGTGCCGTTGCCCGATCGAGCACAGGTGCCTGCAGTCGCACGGATAGCTTGCAGATGGCATACACCATCCCTTCAATTCGAGAGCGGTACCGGACGGACTCTCACAACTCGCTCAGCCGTGCAGATGACAGCATCTAGTGCACATACACAGCTTGGCCAGCATACACAGATTGGCTAGTCAGCGGGGCAGACGTGACAAGAAACGAAACGAGACGAGTCGGAAGTTAACTACCTCCTGGCATACTACCGGTGGCAGAATGGCATTGGTCTTGTCCTCTCTGGTCCCGCAATTGTCACGCATGATAGCAACAGATTACCGAAGTGGGTCGTAATGAGTCATGATAGGAGCTTCATCAATAAACCTATTCTTTCTCGTAGGGCTGAAAAGCAACAGCCGAAAGTGTGCGGACTCCGGGGCTCACACTCCGAGCTCCTCCTCGCCGTGGGCCCAGGTGCAATCGCCACGCGTGCAGGTGCCCTCCGCGAAACCCAACCAACAATCTAGGCAACTGGCCGAAACGCGGTCCTGCTCCCAGAATCTGCAGATGGTCCGCTTGGTGTTCCCACCTGAAGACGACGTCACTAATACTAACCACTAGCATGATTTATATCACCGCTTCCGCCAGGCTGCCTGCAACGACTGCATCGGCACCGCCGAAGGGAACAGCTGGGCCTTGCATTGCTCATGTCACCGCAGTTGCGACAGCACTTATTTGCAACCCACTGCCCGTGAAAGCTCTACTACCAGCATTTTGCCAGCTCTGCCTGTGACTTTGACCGGCCGGATGGGCTCAGCGCGCTGAATGTTCTCAATTGCAACCAACGGTGCCTAGGAGGCCCGCTCTCGGGAAAAGAAGGGAACCAGAGACACAGACGAGACAAAAACAGAGCGTCGTTTTCGTATGCCCTGCCTGTCTCTGCACGTGCTAGCCTATCCTGTGTATGCATTTGTCTGCATTCATGCCTGTATCTGTACAGCAAGATTCGACCTCTTTTTCAAAATGTCTACAAGCCTATATGCGTACTAGACTCTCCAGACAATGTCTATGTACCTATATACTTTATGTCTAAAGCGTGAACATCTTTACATATATATGTTCATCCAGGTTGTCCAGCTTCGAGGAAAAGGGTTTTGCTTTGTCCTCCTCAGTGGTGGTACGGTCAACGGACACCGCCACTGGGTCATCGGCTGTGGATTCTCCAGCTGCCGGTCATGCAACCCCCAACGGTCATAGTCGCATCTGCATTTGATCCAAAAGTCATTCTGAGTGATGTTGATCAACGACCAGTCTCTTGTAGGCGAAGCGACGGCTGATAACCTGCGTGAGGATGTGTTATTGATGTTCTGTTGGTTGTTCACCTCACAGAGCTGGCAAATATAGTTTGTGGCTGCCAAGTGCTGAGGTAGAAGTTGACAGCTGCACTCTCAACCTATCCCCATGCAGGCACACGAGCAGGAGCTTCCTTTTCACGGATACCCCGCTCAGTCGTAGATTCGTAGATCTATGCGGCGGGATGGCTCAAACTCTTGGATCAGACGCCTGCAACTGAGTCGTAAGCTTTCGGCTTATGGCAGTTTCTTGAGCCGCAAAGTTGCGAGTGAGGCGGAGCACTTGGAAAGGTATAGGCATGCTGCGGAGCAGGAATGTTGCATTCTGCACAGCAAAAATGCCAACGGATTTGTGGTAGCACAGTCTGCTACGCAGGCCTGTGGCACCTCGGTTCATAGCTCACTCTCATAGCTCTTATCGTGACACCCACAAATTGAACGAGGCATCGAGATCCGTTCGCAATATATGTATATATGTATATACGTATATCAATATAGCTATGCAGCTATATAGCTATATAACTATACAGCTGTAAAGCTATATACCCATGCACCTGTATATCTATGTTTCGACAGACCGGTGTCATATCGACACATCTGTATAAAGACATATCTATATGTTAACAGACCTACACATATTTTAACAGTGTTTGTACATACAAGCCTATGTGTGTATGTGTATAAATATATTTATATATTTATTCATTTATTCTTTTATTTCTTTATCTATTTACTTACTTGCTAATTCATTTATTTGTTTATCTACATTTATCTATAACTATATACTTGTACTTATCCGCCGACCCCTGCTGGGGCGGCGCCAGTGAAATCCCGAAGGGTTGGTTTTTGTTTGTCTTCCCGTCAAGAAGAAGAAACAGGCTTCAAAAGTACCCCACCACCCACACCGCCTTCAGCGCTTCGC